AGAGAGAGAGAGAGAGAGAGAGAGAGAGAGAGAGAGAGAGGACAGAGAGGAAGGAAAGAAAAGAAGAGAAAAACGATGACAGTCCGGTCGATGTACTGGCCGGCGTCTCGCGATTGAGCGAGGCATATTTTTCCGCACGGTTATCTCGGCATCTCGCGCGCGAGGACGACTGGTCCAACGCGACGAAGACGAAGACGACGAAGACGACGACGACGAAGACGAAGAGGACTCTCGGAATCTCGAGGTTGCGAGTGACCGGCGCGATTGCGGGTACCTCGAAGAGGGCGCAGACACGAGCCCTGTCGATCCCGTGGCGAACGAGACAGCGGGGACCCCGGCGATTCCGCCGACGTGGACGAGCACGGGACACTATCGCGGCTGAATTGCTGGCCGATCGCGCTCGGGCGAGACGCGCGGAACAGCTGCTGAGACTGCGGCCGCAGTCGGCATCTCGGCTCCTTCATCGCCATTGGGTGAAGGGAGAGCAAAATCGAGAGATCATCGACTTCCACTTCTTGAGATCCCTTTCCCTCTCCCTCCCTCTCTTTCTCTCTCTTTCTCTTTGTCGCCCTCTTTCTCTTGCTTCTCATCGTGCTCTCTCTCTGTCCCTTAAACAAGAGAGAAAGAGAGATCTTCCTCGCTCTCGTTCAATCTCGTATACTCTCCCACTTGCCGGCGCCGTTCGCCGTTTAACTCCGTCCTTCCCTGGTCCTCCTCTTCGTCCAGAACGATTCGACCTCCTCCGTCCTGAAGCGTTCGTCGCGCGAGAGCGTCTCTCGCTTGGTATACCTGTTGCCCCGTCTTTCGCAATCCGGCTACTCCTCTCCCGTATCCCGGCGAGGTTTGTGCAACCTTCCTAGCCGCGACTCCGGAGCGTGGATGCGATTGCATGCCGCATAGATCGATCTATCCATCTGTCTGTCCGTCCGTCTCCGTGCGCGCTACGCGCGAGCGCCGATCTGTTGTCGTGCCCGTTCGGCCAGGTAACTGGTTTGCGCGTTTGCGATCTTGCCATTGTCATTCCAGATAACACAAACGTCAAGCCAAGCGGTCTTAATTTATAGCTCGCGACTGAACGCTGCGCTTGAGATAAACGCGACGGCGGAATAATCGTCAGCAGTTATATTTAGATACGTCAGATCGGGCGTTTTTTTTGTTGTGACTTTTTGCGAGGAAAGGAAGAAGAGAAGAAGAAGCACACACGCGCTGCGAGCTGGACACGGAGCGCTGCTGGCTGGTCTCTATTCACGAAGCCGCTGCGTATCTTTACGAGGTGGAATCAAGAGAAGCGATCACTGTAATCGTATATACTTCGTTCGTTCAATATACGAAATCGCGGTTTCCTCTTAGGGCAATTTTAATCTTGAAGATATCGTAATAGAGTAAATCTGGAAGATATCCAGACAATATAATATCTAAAATCGGGATACAAGACGTTTTAAAGATCATCTTTAAGATGCATTTCAGACGATTTACGTATAAATATCTTTAAGACGTCTTAAAAATTATCTTTAAAGCATCTTATGTCCCGATTTTAGACATTATTTTATCTGAATATCGAATAGAGTAAAATATCCAATTATTGACATCCACTTACTGATCTCCTTTACACTATTTAACTAATAAAACTAATCAATAACACCGTGGTTCATATACATCTTCTTGATTCAACAGCAATCCTGATAGATTAATGTATGTAAACTTTACAGCAACTTTAAGTGTATTAAATCACGAAATTTAGCAACGTTGAGTTCCTTATGATTGATCAGATGGCAATCATATTTATCACATAGGACGACAAGATAGAAATACAAAATAATATGATCAAAATTTCCCCCAAACAATATGCTATGATAAGTATAATATGAAAATCAAAATATAACTTTTAGTAAATTTATTGCTGCATCAATAGAACCAAAAATTTATATCGTTGTATGACTAATTCAATGTATAGTATATTTATTTCATAAGAGTATAATTAAAAGAATTGTAAAATTTCCATTATCGCTTATCTCATGTCGTGATAATCATAAGTCTACCTGGAAATGTGTTATTGAAACTAATACTCGACTTATTAACCCTCCATCAGTCGCAATATCCGTCAGATATAGTTCCTAATTCCGATGCTATTAAGAAAGCACATAGGAACTAAGGTCTTGTCTTTTATTTCGACGTAGTTTATTAAATTATACTTTTGTACAGTTGCTTTCCGTGATCAGGAAGACTCATTTATGGATATTCGAAAATAAAAGGTTGGTTTAATCAATTAATGGTTAAATTAAAATATGGTAGTGTTTGAGGGATACATGCGACCATTGACGCAATTTTCGAATGTAACTGGCGGAGGGTTTAAGATAATACATCACATATTGTTTTAATAACTCGAATATTAGTTTCAATTGCTATTGAGTAAAAAAAGTTTAATCTCGTTATAGCGCTGTTGACCAATTCTATCAATTCAATAGTATTTTTTTCCGTGTAATTATTGACACTTTAGAAAAACCTGATTTTTTTTAAGTTTTTTTTTAGTATATCAATAACTGCATAAACAATTTTATAGAATTAGATAAAATCCATATAACTAAATAATGTTCTTGATAAAAATAATGAAATTATATAGAAAGCGTATTCAAATAAATATCTAATCGTGTAATGTAATATATATTTAATGGTGAAAAATAAGTCCGATATAAAACGAAAGAAATTGATAATTTTTTTATACAAGCTGAAATATGAGAAACTTCCGGTAAGTTCAGATAAAGTCATATTGTATTCCAATGAAATTCGTATACTCCCATATAAACAAGTGAATGTGAATTTGGTAACAGCTTTATACATTAGTTGGTTTACCTCTTAAAAGAATTACATCCTTTATGAATGAATTATATAATATTTATATTTATTATAGAAAAGATAGAAATGAAAAGAAATGCGAAAAATTATTCAAAACAATATTAAAACAACGTTGGAATACGTTACATAAAATGTAAAATGAAAACTTTTAGTGAAACTTTTAATAAATATGTTACTACGTCAATATAACTAAAAATTTACATCATTGTATAATATGAATTTAATGATTAAATCAGTATAGTATACTTCCTTCATAAATGTAACTAAAACAATTGTGAGGTTTCCATCACAGATTGTCTTACGTCGTAATAATCATGAAAGTCTATTTGGGCTCTTATGAATCCTTATTGGATTGTTAAGCAAGGTGACTAAGGGAATGTCAGTAATTGACCCCATTTCGTGTCTAATTTCTCTTTTAGGCTTCGCGATATACGATTCGTTTCATAACGAAAGGGACAAGTGGGAGTAGCCAGCGACATGCCGACTCCGAATCTCGTCGTGCTGGGATACGTCTTCACCGACACGAGCGCTCACGCTCAAGCTATCAGATGGGACGAGTCTTGAAGAAACAAACAGCGCGACCTTTTCGCAGTGATCGCGCTCGCGCGATGCCGGGAAAGAGAATGTGCATACACCCGTATTCCCTGCGGCACGCGCAGGTGGAATTCAGGTGTGGGTGTGTCGCGTGCATATACCTCGTCCGAGATATCTCCCAACTGTTGACGATCCTCCGTCTCGAGTCTCTCCTCGATCTCCTCGCGGCTCCTCACCACCGTCTCGTTTAGCTCCTTTTGCACGATGTTGCCGCCATTTCCGGTCACAACACCACCTGCCGCAGGCCAGTCGACCTCCTGAGGCTGATCCCCGGTCGTGCGTCTCTAAACACCGGTCGCGAAACGTTAAAAACACGTTCCGTACGTGTGCGTGATGCTACAAAGGAAGCCGAGTTCCAATCCGATACACAGATGTATCTGCGAGAAATGAGCGTGCATCGCCGAAGGAGCGAGAAGAGGCTCTCGTTCGTTACTGCGTCTCGCCTCTTTCTCGCGGAAATGATTACAGGAGAAGCAAAAAAGCGAAAGGTTCCGCGTGATGTAAGGTCGAGTCGGAGGATAAAAAGTTAATTAGAACTGAGTCTTCGCAGACCCCATAGTCCCCTTCGGAGACGATTGAAAACCAAGGACAGTCTGAATCTTTTTGACTACTATGAGAAGAAGATACTATGTGGAAACACTAATTAACATTATGTCAATGTTATAATTTCTCATTCAACAATGTAAATGCGATATAACATGTGTTGTATGTAACATTTACATTGTTTAGTGAGAAATTATAATATTTATGTAATGTTATTATTAGTTGATATTTACTGAGTATATACTATAGAGAAGAAGTCAGAAAATAAAAAAACTTCTTTCTTTCCATCTTATAGTTCTTTTTATAATTTTTTACATCTTATAGAAAAGATGATGAGTCAGATTGATTTTGAAAAAGACGATAGGCCTATAAAATAAAAAGAAGGAAGTAGAATTCTTCTCTTTTTATCTTTAGATCTTTTGATTTGAAAGGGAAAATATTGAGTCAGATTGACTATGAAGAAGGAGATAAAATTATAATATAAAAAGAAGGAAAAAGAATTTTTCTCTTTTCATTTTATAGTTTATATAGTTCATTTCATTTTAGAGAAAAGATGTTAAGCCAGTTGGACTACGAAAAAGATAAAGCTATAAAATAATAAATGAGTAAAAGAATTTCTCTCATTTTATTTTATAATTCTTTTTATAGGTTTTTTCAGGAAAGTGATTATGAAGAAAAAGATAGAACTATAAGATAAATAGAGGAAAAAATATTTTCTCTCTTTTCATTTTATACTTTTTATAGTCCTTTTCATTTTGTAGGAAAGATGATAAATTGCATTAATTATAAAGAAGAAGATAGAACTATAAGATAAAAAGGAAATAAAATAATTTCTCTCTTTCCATCTTATAGTATTTTTATAGTTCTTTTGGTCTTACAGAAAAAATAACGATTTACGTTGAGCATGCAGAAGAAGATAAAATTGTAAGAAAAAAAAGAAGAAAAGAAGTTTCTCTCTCCTTATCTTAAATTCTTTTTATCTTACAGGAAAAGTGGTGATTTGCGTTGACTATAAAGAAAAATAAAACAAAAGATAAAAAGAGAGAAATTCTTTTTCTTCCTCTTTATCTTATTTCTTTCTCTGTTTCTTCTCTTTTATCTTTTTCTCTCGATAGAGAGAATCATCTTTTATCTTCTATCAACTTTTTCTCTTTTATATATAATAGTTATATTCCTTTCTCTCCATGTTCAACTCTTTTTATCTTATAGTCGTATCTTCTTGTATCTATAGTCTTTTTCATCTTACAAGGAAGAGACGGTTCCCATTAGTGTAATTAGGATTTCTCCGACTATTCTTCTCACTGAATCTACTGAATTTATCGCTAACGAGAACAGACTTGTACTACTCGACAAATGTGCGCACCTCCTGCGTGGTGTGCTCCTGTTGTTCAACATCCTCGGTCGTGTTCGTGGTGACGAGAGGCCCGGAGTCTACGACGACCTCGCCGTCCTCGAGAACGACCTGCCGCTTCACCCTGGTCTCGATCTGCCTGGTGGTGGTGATTTCCTTCTTCTTGCGGGTCTCCCATTCCTCTGCAAGCCGGAAGCGGACGTCTTGTTAGTCCAGCTCACGTCACTGTTGCGCAAAACCAATTTCTCGGTGCCGAACAAACGGACGTGAAACGCAGATGACGATGAGTCGACGCGGTAACCGACGGAGGAGAGGCGCGCCTTTTGTGCCTTTTGTGTCGAGCGACGTTGTCAACCAAGAATCGCGTCCGCGTCAAATGAGCGAAACAATGCAGCCACGCAAAGCGAGCGAACGGTTATCTCCGCGATCGCCGGAGAAAGCATACGGGAACGGTAAAATGAAAAGAAAAGACGGGAAAAGAAACTGAGAAAGACACTGTTTACGTAGCCGGAATATCCAATTTGCGGGACCGATGTGTTATCTAAACGAGAGAAAAACGTGAGAAGAAGGGGGAAACACGAGAACTCGGCTCGGCAAATACTCGTCCACTCCGAGTATCGGAAAGTACGAATCGAACGACTCCGACGACTCACCTAACTTCATTCGCGCGATCCGAATACGCGACTGCAATTTAAGGAGTTTATTCACTTGAACGAAAAAGTGCTTAAAATTAGACAAAAAATTTAACATAACATTTATCGCGGTAAAACGCATTTGTAGTTAATCTCATTGCGATTTGTCTCCATCGTTTATAAAAAATTTAATATTGAATATCGCAATTTTGCACATGTAACCTTACGTTAGAAGCAATATAGATGATCTTCATTCCAATGTAAGGGGGGGGGAGCATGGTACACAGAAAAATTTTAACAATAAAACGTAAACAATAAGCAAATTGACCAATCACAATCAATGATTCTTCTGACGATTCTAAGAATCAGCAACTATAATTAGCCAAATTGCTTACTGCTTAATCCTTTACTGCCCAAATTAATTTTTCATGTTTAAAACATTTTTCGTTTGTAACTCCGAGCATTGAGCAGTTACTATTGTTATCAACATACATTGAGCAGTTACTATTGTTATCAACATACTAAAAAAAGGCAGCCATATTGTGACTTTTACGTCATATCGATCAGGAACAACATTCATATTGAAGATAAATAATGATGTTAAGGCTCCTGGCCCCTCGCATTGTCTATCTCTTTTTAGTGACGCCAGAAGCGAGAAAATGAATGCTAAAAATTCTTGCGAAATACGTTGAAAAAATAAAAATATATATCCATAAAGTAACACTTGCAATCGATTAAACAAATTTGTAAGATATTCCGTGCACTCCCCTTTTACTCTAATAATCAATAATTTATTGTAAATTAATCTGAATAGAAATAGACGAAAAAATAGGTTAAGAAGATGAATTGTATGTCACGTTAATTTACGACAAATTATTGATTGTTAGAGCAAAAGAGGAGTGCACGGAATATTTTACAAATTTGTTTAATCGATTGCAATGTTACTTTATGGATATATATCTTTATTTTAACGTATTTCGTAAGAATTTTTAACATACATTTTCTCGCTTCTGACGTCATTAAAAAAGAGATAGACAATGCAAGGAGCCAGATAATGATGAAAACTGGATTGTGACTTCAGAGTCGCAGTAGAGGGTTAAGTTTTTCTGTAGACAATGCAAGGGACCAGGAATCTTAATATGATAGATAATGATGAAAACTAGATTATGACTTCAGAGTCGCAGTAGAGGGTTAAGTTTTTCTGTGTTTCATAGTCCTAAAAGAAAACTTCATGAAAAATGATACTATAGTATTTTATTATGTGAATATATCCACATAAAAAATTTACCGTTATAAATTACCATTAAATATTAAGAAACACGATACAAAAGGAAGAATAATTTATTTACTACACCGTTTTTTTTTTTAAATATTACAACCCAAGTAGTATTTTGTGTAATGATCGATTGTAGGCTAGAAAACTGCTGCTTTATTTTTTGAGTAAAACGTGGCAAAGTAATATTATGAAATTAGTTTCAGGTAAACATTTATTATTTAGATAGTGAAATAAATATATAAAAAGGTAATTTTCGATAAACAGTGAGTTTGTCAGTAGTTTCCTTGATGTGCCACTGAAAATACGTTCCTGAAGTCTTGAAAATACATACCTGGTGAATAAACTCCTTAAACTCGCCAAAAACTGAAGTAAGAGAGATATTTCCCTATCGCGCGATGCAAACGAATTAGTGAGCAACTTTAAGGGGCCTTTTATACCTTGGGAGATTCGGAAAAATAAGCTATATTCAAGAATTGTTTCTGGGGAAACTTCGCAACGAATCGATTTGTAATTTGGAAAATTTATCATATAAGTATAAAAGAATATTTAAAAAAATATAATGGTTATTCGAAAATATAAAACTTTAAATGCATTTTCAACTTTGGTGCGTGTGCAAAATTTCCCGAAGACTATCAAGTCGATTGTCTTCAATAAATATTGAAAGTATGTAAAACGGATTTTACGAAAAATTTAAAATTAACGAAATGGCGTCGACGGAAAGCGAACTTTTCTCGTTCACAACTTTTCATATAACAGGAAAAGATATTGAATTTTAAAATCTCAGAAAGTTCAAGTTATACATCCTCGATATACATGCATTGAAGATACATGTAAAGTTTGAAGTTGATTTCAGTTTCATAGTCTTCGAGAAATCTTGCAGGCTAATTTCAAAAACATAGTTTCGAAGAAAGCGTTTAAAGTTTAAAGTTTTGGCGTGCAAGATTTTTGGAAGACTATTAAACCATGATTTTATTTTTACGAAAAAATAAAAATTAACAGAATATCGTCGCTGCAAAGTGGACGTTGCGTTTTTCTCACCGAAAAAAGCAACATTTTACATAACGGAAAATATGTTAAATTTAGAAATTTCAAGAAATATGGTCTATATGCGTTCGATATAAATGCATTAAAGATATGTGGAAAGTTGGAAGTCAATCGACTCAATAGTCCTGGAGAAATCTTGCACGCCGAACTTAAAAACGTGATTTGAGAGAAACGCATTTAAAATTTTAGATACAACATTCTTAGGTGAAAAAAATTTTGTTTCCAACAATCATTATATATTTTTAATATTCCTTTATATTTATACAATAAATGTGCCAAGTTACACGAAAAAAAGGATTTGCTGCAGCAGCAAACTAATTTGTTATATATGGGCAGTTAAACATAATTCGCTGTATTAGCTTCTTTTCCTTTGCTGCAGAAATCTATTTCCTTGCTATAATAACAAGAAAATATGCTCGTATAGCAAGAAAAGTGGCTAACATAGCAAATTTGCTACAGATGGACAAAACATAATTTACTGCTTTACTTTTTTTGTTGCAGGAACAGATTTTCCTGTTATCTTAGCAAGGAAATTGGTTTCTGCAGCAAAGAAAAAGTGGCTAACACAGCAAATTATGTTTAGTTGTCCATATCTTTTTTTCCGTATATAAATCGACACGTTTTTCTAGAAGAAATTTCTAAAAATAATCTCTTTCGAGCGGCCACAGGCCGCTCGGTAAAAAGCCTCTTAATGTTTTAGATAACATAACATGTTCTAAGATCATTCAGGTCGTCTTAGGACACTTTCCAGGACATCTTGGGTATGATTAGAATGATTTTGGGACATCTATGCTATCTAAGGTATCTCCTCGTTTCTTTATCTGTTAGTTATCTCTTCGCTTCTTTGGCTGAGTTCGTACTTTGGACTATTTCGTGCTGATAGTCACTCTACCTTTGTTTGGTCATAACATGCTGAAAAAAGAACAAGCAAAGCTTTCAGAACAAAAATGTCCAAAGTGAATCAGTTTTTATCTCTTCGCTATCTGGCATTCGTGTCTGGCAGTCGATACCTTCGCCGTTTTCACTGACTTTCCGACTTTCTGAGTAATGTCGGTGTGTTAACGGTACAGTCCTAATAAATTTTCGGTTTACACGCGTGCGACGGTACAGGACCGGCCGCGCGGATTACCGAGGAATTTAATTTACCTTCTTTGACTAATGCCACGGAGTTCTCAGGATCAACCTGAAAAAGGAAACAATACGCATGTAAATCCTCGCTCACGAGCAGGAAAGCGCCGTCGTCGTCGTCGACGGAGGAATGAGGAGCGATTCCATTCGATTGTGAGGACATTCTCGGGGGAGAGCGTTACGTATCGCGAGGAATACGTCCACCGCGAATAACTTTGCCGTAACCGCTTTCTTAGTCCGCGTTACACGCGACTAAACTCCTGACCGACATCACCCAGCTGGCGAATTCCGATCCCAGGATCGGGATGTTAACGCGAAGTGAGAGCGCGAGACGAGAGTAAGCCGATGAATAGACGCACGTGCGATCCGTCGCAAGGTGATTCGTCCAACGCGATCGCTCGTGAATAATTAATCGAATATCGCGTCGGGAGGATATCCAGTCGAAAATGACGGTATCAAAGACGATGGTACAAAAAAATGAAAAATTTCCAAATTTAGACGTTTGATTAACCATAGATTGCCTGTTAGTCATTTTAATATGCACTTCAAATAATTTAATAAAAAAGTGTAATTGGTTACTTTATTTTTCTTCTGTAAAAAAAATTAAAGACGTTAAGGTAGATTACAAATGAAAAAACAGTTAAGGTAGTCAAAATCATGTCACATTAGCAATAATGGACTAACTACTACTACTACTACTACACGGAAAAAACAACTCCATTAGTGTAGCTAATGTAGGATTTTCACACTACATTTTAATGTAAAATGTAATGTAGTTAGTGTAGAATTTTCTGTTACCTGATACCCAGGTAACAGAAAATTACTCGTAGGACCAGAAAGATTTCTGCAAAAGGTTTTTACTTACAAGGGGACCGCACGTACCTGATGTCATGGATTTTGATGATGTTTTTTTGGGTTGTTCTACAACACTAATGTACATCCTGTGTAAGAGGATTTTTGTCAACATTTCTTTGTTTCGGAGAAAAAAAAAGTAATTTACGAGCGCCTTATAGATCAAACATGTGACGAAATTTACAAGCACTTCAGAAGCCGCGGCGGTTAAGGCACGGTATATGATATTTTTAGCTCAGGTTTAATCCTCGGGCCATCCAATTTTCTTTTTCATTTTATTGTTTTCTTTCATTCAGATTGTAGGGCAAAGATACAATAAATACCAAAATACAAAAAAGGAATATATTAAACGTGATTATAAGTGATAAAACATTAAAAAATATGTTATATAAAATTATGTTAAAATCGATAACGCATCTGATTTCTCGCATCCCGTATTTAAACCCCCTTATTTAAACAATATAACAACCGGTACTCTACCTATAATAAATCTACGACTAACTATTTCTAGATATAATTAAATATATTACTAAATAAACGATTCGTTAACATTAAAATTATTAGAGATTTTTTACACGAGTACGCAAATCAAACTATATTCACGTGTCCGTTCCGATATTCAGGTCCGTCTAAATAAAGACAATCGTTGCAGAATTTAAAACTATCTTGGATTACTCCCTTTTCCTCTGGAATTTACGTTAGAAATTCATAAAGTAAAACAAACACTATATGAAATTTCAGAGGATGGAAAAAACAGCGTCAAATATAAGTGAAACATAAGATTAACATAATTTTATATAACACATTTTTTAATGTTTTGTCATTTATAATCATGTTTAATATTCCTTTTTCGTACTTTTATGTTCATTGTATTCTTGTCCTACAGTTTGAGTGAGAAAAACAACAATAAATCAAAAAAAAAAAATGGGATGGTCCGCGGATTGAATCTGAGACAAAATGATCCCACACCGCGCCTTAACCGTCGCGGCTACTGAAATACTTGTAAATTTCGTCACATGCTTGGCCTATAAGGCGCCCGTAAATTTTTTTCTCCGAAGCAAAAAGATGTTGACAAAAATCCTTTTGCACAGAATGCATATTAATATTGTAGAATAATCCAAAAAAACATCATCAAAATCCATGACATCAGGTACGTGCGATCTCGTTATCAGATATTATTTCTCGTCTCAATCAATTTTTCGACTGTTCTTCCATTCAGTCACACGAACTGACATTTTTTTCCTGTATATAAAAAAAGAAAATTCCGTTGGTGTAACTGAATTTTACGTTGCTTCGTAAGAACATAAACCAGGTAAAAAAACTTGATTGCAGGAACAGAAAGATTCTTATAAGGAAGTTTTTTATAAGGAAGTTTCTACTCAATTGTGTTGAGTTATTACAATCAAGGTTTAAAGAAGTTCGAGAATTTGACCAAATACATATAAAACGAACTTATAATGTTGTATATAATACATAAATAAATCAAACTATAACAATGAATAACAAAAATTTCAATAATTTTTACTCTATCATTCTCGAAATGTTTAACTGTAAACTTATATTGTGCAAATATATATAGAACTATAATACAATAAATTTCTCCCAATTTGACGTATTTGTATACAAAACAAAAGTTTAAAAAAACTGTCGTAATAATAAAATGAGCATTTAAGCATATTTATATTGTAATAAAGTATCATGTAAATATATTATCAGGTTAAAAAGGAATTTAATTAGATTTTTCGATGAGAAAATTCCAGGAATTGAAATTGACAATATATGAGTAAAAACATGATAACGTTGCATAAATTATAGCATCAGATCTGAAATGACCTTTCATAATGACATTTTTCTATATTTATTTCTATATTTATTATTTATTTTAACATAACATCTACGTATTTTTAAATCGATTTAAATGAAACCGATTATTTATCAAATATGATAACAAGTACATTTCATGTTCATATTTATGTTCATATTTCATATGTTCATATGTTCATATTTCATATTCATATTGTCCTTACAATTGACAATATTGACATCGAATGAGTGTCTTCGAATTTTTATTTTGTCACTTTTAAATTATTTGATAATTTTTAAAATAAAAATGATTACATATATTACGATATTTACAAATCATCTCACTAAATTGTTACAAAATTATTTTTTTAATCGTTTGAAATTATCTTATTAATAAAATACTGATATTAACCATAGAACTAGAACTTCCTTAATACCTCCTGAATACTTATAACTGAATGTTCAGACAAATGTTTTCGATTGCAGTAACAGAGACATTATTTCATAGCGCCGAATTTTCTCTCTATTCAGGTCTATCTGGTCTCTCTATTCAGTTACGTAAGCTGAGATTTTTCCATGTATTACCATTGGCAATCCAGAATTAAGTATTAGGTATATGCAATAGTTTTAGTCTTTAATATACTTTAATTTAAGTATGTTTGTCTCCACAAGCCGATATCTCTTTTTTGCTCCAAGAAAAGAAACCCAAAATTTACTTGAGAGACAGGGATGGCAAGTGAAACAAAAGTCGAGAAAAGTTTCGACCCAGCTGGTTGATCATGCATCTTTTTCTCTAGCGTGAAAATTTTCTAATGTAAAAACGTATAGAAATGTTCACTTTTCACGAGTTCACGTTAGAGAAAAAGATTCATGATTGACCCCCAGGAACAAAACTGAACACATGTGCAGTCTGTTTAGTTTTGTCCCCAGAAGAAAACGAAAATAAAAAACAAAAGTTTTGTGTCAGGAATCAAAACTATATACCGAATAGTTTTGTTCCCGGTACGAAACAAAACAAAAAGTATTACGACGATAAAATCTTATTTCTTTTTTATTCTAATGATTTTAGTTTTGTCTTCAGAAAAACATTTAAGAGTAGCAGGTTGGAAAAATACAAAATTGGCAGGAACTTATTACGAGCGAGCTAATAAAAATATTGAAAAGATTTTTTATATGTTATTGTACATATTTTCTATTATGTATATCACATGCAGGTTACATATACATATTAGATTACATATACAAGATGTTTTGTACTTGCCGTTCATTAAGGCTCCTGGCCTCTCGCATTGTCTATCTCTTTTTAATGACGTCAGAAGCGAGAAAATACATGCTAAAAATTCTTGCAAAATACGTTGAAATAAAAATATATATCCATAAAGTAACACTTGCAATCGACAAATTTGTAAGATATTCTCTCTTTTTGTTCTAACAATTAATAATTTATTGTAAATTAACTTGATTAGAAATAGGCGAAGAAATATGTTAAGCAGATGAATTGTATGTCACGTTAATTTACGACAAATTATTGATTGTTAGAGCAAAAGGGGAGTGCACGGAATATCTTACAAATTTGTTTAATCGGTTGCAAATGTTACTTTATGGATATATATTTTCAACGTATTTCGCAAGAATTTTTAGCATGTATTTTCTCGCTTCTGACGTCATTAAAAAGAGATAGACAATGTGAGAAGCCAGAAGTCTTAAGTATATAGCACTATTCCTTATAAAAATTCGAATATATTGTTACGCGCGCCACCTGATATATTTCTCGACCGCGAGTCAGCTGCCGCGAGAGTCGATCGACTCCGGTCAACTGTTTGCTACAACAACGAAGTGTCAACGGATCAGCTGTTTGTCATGGCAACGAAGCGTCAACAGATCAGCTGTTTGTCACGACAACGAAGTGTCAACGGATCATCTTTTTGTCACGGCAACGAAGTGTCAACGGGGAGTTGGAGAGAAATTGCGCTTGACGGCGGACGTGTCTCCGATTTCTCTCAGCTTTTTAAAAACGCTCGCTTGTACATAAATAGAAATAGAGTTCTTGTTTGTTCCGCGAAACCCTGTGTTCTTATTTCCGCGTTCCGCGCGCGTAACAATATTATTTCTTGTCAATTTTGTACTTTTCTGGCCGTCCAGCCTGCTATTTCTCTTTAAATGTTTTTCTGGAAAAAGAACTAAAATCATAGAATTAAAAGGAAATAAGGTCTTCGTATAAGTACTTTTAATCTATTTTGTTTGACATCTAGACCAAACATTTTAGACCACGCATTTTTTATCTGTGAGTTTTGCTTTGTTTTGAATATAGTTTCGTTTCTGCATTTTGTCTCCTGAAACGGAACTAATTTATTTTGCATTTTTGGACCACAAGTTTTGTTTCGCTTGCCATCCCTACTGAGAGACGGCAAAAGGTTATAAAAAGCGAAGGAAAATAGTTTGACGATTGAATTTTATTTTACGTTGAAAATTATTATGAAAATAAGAGGAGAAAACTTACAAAAAAAGATTAAAATTTCTGCATACACCTAATATTTTCTAATTAAACATTTCTTACCGTTCGCGACATTATTTACAAAGCGAAATTTTACGTCATTGAATATCATACTCGATGAATCCCCTATCACGTGTCGTTAGTTTCCCGTAAGTCGAGTTTTCCAAGGCAACCTGGGACACGACGTAGCGCGAAGCACGAACCCCGGAGGGATAAACGCGCGAATACCTGAGAAAATGCGCTCACGCGGTCGGAGAAAATGTTACTCACGAGAATAGAGGAGTGGGTGTTCGCCGGTGGACGGGCCTCGTATCGACGTGTCGAAATCACCTCCATCATTCGATCATGTCTGCTGGAAAATCCTGGTGTTTCCGCCGGGTCGTTCAGTCGCTCTTTGCGAGGAGGAATTCAACCGACGAAGCCGACAAACGTCGGCTTGAATAATCGGGTCTCTGCGCATAAATATTATTACGTATAATTTACTACACAATATTTGCGAATAATTACACTTGATCACAAACTCGTGATTAATTTCGATCAATATAACGAACAGTGTGTTCCGCATATTTGAAGAAATTTACAATTAATAAAACTCTTTTTCAACTGATATATAGGATGTCTCAGAACAATTTCTGAAGCTCTTGTGAAAACATAATATGGATTAAGGTGAATATAAAGATCCTATACTAATTTGCAATATTCGCAATAATTATTGAGATATTAATTAAAGAAGATTTGTGAATGATCACGCGAGATATGGTAAATGAGCTGTAGTAACGGTTGATGCTCTGTACTTGCACATTAGGTCAAACTGAACAAAAAAGTCGCCTACTATTTTCTTAATAACTTGGTAGATTTTTAGTTATTTGTTATTTGTTGTTAAAGAATATTAATATATTATCGCGTGAGCGATCATTCGCCAATTTTTTTTAACCCTTATTGTGCACACTTCAGTAGAATCACATAATGGGCACACTGAGGTCTTTCGCGACCTCAACTACAAAAATGTTTGCTGCAATAAAATTATTCGCTCTTTTTTATTTGAAAAAATGCCAGGATATACTTCAAACATCTTTTTATATGATAGAATAATTTTTCTAGACGAAATTTGATTTTAAATGAAGAAAAAAAATTGGAAAGCCCAAAAACGCGAAAAATTACTTAATTTGCTCCAAAAATCATAACTAATACAATTTTTTATATTTCAAGATAAAATGTTAAGAAACTACTCTCAAGATATCTCTTTAAGAAAAAAATTAGTACAATAGCAGGATTTTCAAAAAAGGTATTTATTTTGAATATCGAAATTAGAATTTTTGTGAAAAAAAGCAAACAATTTTTCCAAAATATATAGATTTATTTTATTATATTATATTTTATTTTTTATTTTATTTTATAGATTTACTTTATTTTATTTATTTTATTTATTTATTTTTCCTGGGGTCTATTTGACCACAGTGCACAATAAGGGTTAATTAGTAATTAAAAACCTATAAAATTATTAGGAAAATGGTAGAGAACTTTATTGTTCAGTTTGACTTAACGTAGAAGCATATGATGGCAGATGTTGTCACAAAAACTCATTTACCATATTTCACGTAATTCACAAATCTTCTTTAATTAATATCTCGATAATTATTGCGAATATCATAAAACGGTATAAAACTATTCACCCCAATCTATACTATGTTTCCATGAGAGCTTTGGAAATTGTTCTGGAACACCCTATATAAATCGCATCGCAATTCAAGTTCCGCGAAGACAACGCAGCGTGACAGCATTTCGCGTAACAGGTAACTTATTTTTCGTCACTTATCATTAATTTGATCCACAGAGCGATATTCATAGTCCGATCTTATATTAAAAATTGTCTTAAGTTTATTTATTTTACGAAAGATATGGAAAAGGATCCCGTTTGTGCAAAAAAGAAACAAAAAAATATACTTTTACTTATAAAGAAAATAATATAGAATAATAAAAACAAGATGAAATGGTGTAGAGATAAAAACGATATAGCAAAAACAAAAGAAAAACAAATTACATTTTTGTGATTTTTATGAGAAGATTAATTTATTTATTTTGGAAGAATTTTGAGCATATACTTTCTTACTTCTAACGTCATAAATCAAGATAACCGCGGCGAAGAAACAAAATCAAAATAAACTTAAGACGATCTGAAAACAATGTTGGGCATTAATCGATTAAAATTTCTTTTGACTCAAATAACTGACAAATCGATAATTAAAATTAATCAATACTAATATATAAAATATATTATAAATACAAATAATACAAACCATTTCATTAATTGGTGATGAAATTAATTATTAATCAAACTTTGATGTCACTGATTATATATTAATTAAGAATTAATTTCATTAGTCAGTTAAATTATTTATATAATTGTATACAATATAATGATTATTGAAAATAATTTTGATTATTGATTTGTAAGTTATTTTAGTCAAAGAAAATTTTAATCAATTAATGTCCAATACTTCTTGAAACATAAGATCGATTAATGAACATCACCTTTAGCAACCGTCACAATTGACATTTTGCAAATCCTTTCTCGTTTTCTTTTCAAGATGACGCAGAAAAACGCGGTAATAGGCGATTCAGCCGAGGGAACATCAGTCTCGCGCGTAGACATAGAGCCGTACATCCTTTTTTTCATTCTTTCGCTGTGTCGACGCGCATGTGGGGAACGCGTAAGCCTGCATATATACAGGATATCTGAGGCTAAGGGAGAATTCACACCTTGGTAGAAAAACAAAAAACAGGAAGGCAGAAGCTAATCAGAACTCGCGCTGATGGTCAGATAGTAGTCGACAGTTTCTGCTTTCCTACCAAGATGTGAATTCTCTCATATCTTGTGTAAGGAAGAGGGGGACAAATAGTGACAGGGGGAAAATAGTGACAGTTTAAATTTCTCCTATATTTCCCGCGTCTATGCTACTACTACCGTCAATAGAGTAAGTTCTCGAACATCTAATCATCTTTGAAAAAAAACAAACTACTAAGTCAAACATAGCTAATAAAGAAACCTAAAATTTTGGCCTGTGAGACAAGGTGAAACAAAAACCTGAATCTTATTCGGATATTTCTATTTAGATTGTTTTGACTCTCGAACCTCTAAATGAGATTTTATGTGTTCAGCGTTGTACGATATGTGTTTCTTCTAGTGTAATCTAACCTCTATATGTATATATCAATTCGTTTATTGTTTTAAGTGTTTTAAAAGAAGAGGCAATTCTTAGGGCAAAGAGTGACAAATTTTAAATAGTGTTACTTATTCAGTGTTAGTTGAATTGCATTTCTTCCCATTTATTTTGTTGGGTGTAACTTAAATGCCATTAAACTAGGTTTAAATACACAAAATATTAATAAGTAATTTGAAAAATCACTTTCCAAAAGCACATCATATTATTTTATCAAAATTAAATTTTATACATCATTTGTTTTAATAAAATTCTTATATATGGCAATAAAAAAATTATATTTCAATTTTTAGTTAGTCATACATCGTAAAAAGAGAGACTGGATGGAAGTTCAGGATTCAGAAGTTCATTTGCCTCACGCTGGGGCAAATAGTGACAAAATGCAGATTTTAGTTTCTATGAAAATCTAGTTATTCTATATGACTTATGGATCTTGTATTTAAGTTTTTCGTATAATTAAAGATGGAAAGTATCGTTTTAGTAAAATATCCGAACTCGAAAACTTGAAAATAGCTTACACGAGGGAGAAAAAATCCGTCACTATTCACCCTACTCTCCCTTACATGTAGACTAAGTCAAACTGAACACAAAATTCTTCTACCATTTTGCAAGCAACTACGTGAAATTTTGAGTTATTAATTAAAGAAAATTGGCGAGTAATCACGTGCGATACGACAAATGAATTGTGATAGCGATGCCTGCCATCGTGTGTACGTGTATGTGTGTGCGTGTCTTTATAGATTAAATTGTAGATGTGTTTTCACATTTTCAATTGTAGATATCAAACCAAACAAAAATGTCTTGAACTATTTCGCAAATAACCACATAAATTTTTAGTTATTAATTTAAGAAGATCGATGAACGATCGTGCATAATTATTCGCTAATTTTCTTAAATTAATAAAGAAGAATTAATTCAGAAGTCTAGGTGATTCTTTACAAATTGATGTAGAACTTGTTTTTTCAGTTTGACTTAGTCTCGTACAAGCATGGAGAAAAATAATTTTGCTCTTTTAGCAAAATCGTCGTTGCTACTGCATATTCGTAGTGACATCAAAAAAATTTAGTTGACGTAACTAATTTTACAAATTATTCGTTATCAGAGCAGAAGTAGTTTCGTTGCTAGGATAGAAAAAATTTGTTGAGTGTATTTGTCCTAAAAATCACGTTAATTTGCTATTGATGTAAAATCCTTAGCAAATTAATGTATTAATTAATGTATCCTTAACAAATTTATTTACTATCTGAGTAAAACTGCAACTTCTTATATAAATTCATCATGGTTCTTATAGCAAAATAATTTGTAGATTCAGCAAATTATATCCAGCAAATAATGATTAGTACTCTTAGCAAATCTATAGCTAATCTTTTTGCTGTCCATATAATAACGAAAAGATTTTGGTAGACCAGCAGAAAATTTAGTAGGCCAGCAAATTATTTTTCTCCGTGAGCATATAATTTCAATATTAAACTTTATTACAAATATGTCTTACTTCTTTCTATGTTTTTTTTTGTTTTACAATTTTTACAATTTTACAATTTTATATTACAATTTTATAACAAATAAATAACAAGTTTATAATGTGCCATTCATTACCGGCCGCTCTCTTGAAGATTAATTAATAACTCAAAATTTTACGTGTACAAAATAGTGAGAAAAATTTTATGTTCAGTTTGATCCAATCTACACTAAAAGAAAGATTTTGTTTTGTAACAAGTACCAAAATTTGATAGTTGTTACTAAATTATTCGGTTGTTACTAAATTAGTCAAATAATACGGACCAAACATAAGGTAATAATTAGGAAATAATTTAGTTATATGATTATTATAAGTAAATGTATAGTTCTCAGAACCAAGATTTAGTTGCTTAAACCACATATTTAGGTCATCAAACTAGATTCTGGAAGTTAATAACAAATCTTGGTAGCAGAAAATGAGATATTTAGTAACTATTACTAAAGTTTGTCCAATGAAAGTTGTTTTAGGTATTTTTTTTTAATTAAAAAAACCTCATTGTATTTTTTAAACTCTATTTTAAGACATCTATATTTTTCATTTTTTATATTGACGTTTTTTATCACTTTATACGGGAAATCCTGTGGTTTTATTTGATTCCTGTAGCGATTACTTATCCTTTTTCTCGTTCGCCTGCTTTACCTCATGATGGGACAGAAATTGATTAATCCTATGAACTACGACAATATCTTTGTATTCCTGCGTTTATAATATA